ATTTTAATTTAATATACATATAATGAAAAATAATAATAATAAATATATTAATTTAATATACATCAAATAATACCAACAATCTAAGTAATTTAGTAGTAATATCTCATTCTATTGAAAATAAAAAATATTAAATTCAAATTGCGTGACATGCGATTAAAGTATGGTAAGAATGGGACAAAATTGCCTCCATTATGCAATCAACATAAAAAAAAGAATTATTTATTACATATTTATGTATTATTTACATACTTATAGTAATTTTGAGCAAGTCATTAATATAAAATGCATGTTTGCTTATTTCTTCACTTATTTGTTCTATTTCTAAACCATTATTATTTAACGCATACTTTAATAAATGCTTGTTTATTAATATAAAATATACCTTTGCTTAATTTTTCCCTTTCTTTTCTATTCTCAAACTATTATTAATTAGTGCATACCCTAATTAATGTTTATTTATTTATTTTATTTTGAGTTGCACGATAAATTTAACTTTTTGTTATTTATTTACTTGATTATATTAAATTGCTTAAACGGTTGGTTTTGAAGTATTATTTAAATTATTCATTTGTTCTCATTTTATTATCTTTTTGTTTAAGTATTTAAACTCATTTTTAACATGAAAGTTTAAATTTTTAACTATCGACATATCTCTTTTAGAGCCTCTTTGATTTGTGGGAAGAAAAGGAGAAGTTTACCTCTTTGGAGAAAAAAAGAAAAAGAAAAAGAGAGCTTTTCTTTATTTTGTTTTAGTTTCTTTTGCATTTAGTATATTTTTTTTTTCATTTTAATATATTCAAATGAGATAAACATATTTTCTCCATTTTCCTCAAACCAAACAAACTATTAAAAGCATTTTATTCTCTATTTATTGGCTTTAAAATTTCATTCAAAATTTGCTCTTTTGGTCTTTTTTTTTTCATTATATCCATTTTTCATTTATTTTTTGAGACTATATAAATACATTTGATTAGTAGTTAATTATAAAAAATGACATTTTCATATATTGTCCTAACAATATTCAACATCTCAAATTTTGTAATTTTTGAGTAATATTTTCCATATATCTATAATTGTTTGATACTTCAATTAATTGCAAATTAATAATATAAAGGAAAAAAACGTGCATCTCTATAATGTAACATTCATTGAAAATTTTTATACGTTAAAAGGATTTTTTATTGAATGATGGGAAATTAGAGATTTGGGGGAATAATTGCAACAATATTGCATTGATAGCTTGAATCATTGATAAAGAAATCAAGGTCATTGGTGCATTTCTATTGCAGCATAAGTTAAAAAGATTAAATAAATATAAACATATTAAATGTGCATTGGAGATTACGGTTGAAATTTTCTAACTAAATTTTAAAAATATACTTTAAAGATGTATTATTTGTGCATTGTTTGTGTATTTCACTTTTTTATTTATAGCTTTAGATTTTATTTAATCTAGTTATTGTATAAAAATAAGTGATGTAATTGTAGATTACATATTAGAAAGAATTTTCAAAGTCATTATTTTATTCAACCAAATGAATATATCCTTATGAGAATGCAAATACTTTCCTTTTGTACACACCTTCTTCTTAAGTGGAATTACAGTATGATATATCTAAAATAATTAAAGCAATCTTAATGCAAGAAGATAACTTCCTAACTACTTAATTATAATGGAAGAACACTTTCATTGTGAATACTTCAATTGACCTTTGAAGATGCAAGGACTATTCTCTTTCCACATCAATGCTTTCTTCATAAAAACGTTATCTTTTCAATTGGAACTCCCTTAGTTTCAGGCACCAACATATAGATGAATAAGGTCATCACAATATTACAACTAGTGAAAAACAATAAGACATGGAACTTGAGTATGTAGAGCATGGAAAAGGAGTTTTGAGCTATTATGAGAGTAAATTGAAAGTTTATAGCTACTTTTATGCTTTGTCTATCTAACTGTGTTTCTGATGTAAATATCTTATCCAACACTTTATCGTCTAAAGATTCCCATGACTATCCAAAAGCTAAAACAACAAGGTAAAGCACCACCACTGCCAATGCTGAATAACCCTTGGATAAAGAATGATTGTCCCCAAACTTGAGTCTTAAGAGTATAGCAACTATACTCTATTTCAAAAATAAATGATTAAAAGTTTTGAATTTTTGAACTTTTCAGTATGAGTTTTTAATTCTTATTTTATGCATTTATGAATTAATATCAGATATCTTACTTAACATATAATAATCTGAATTCCACCAATGATAAGTGAAAGTTTTCACTTCAATTGATCTATTATGGTAATGGAGATAAAGGTAGATCCAACCATATCAGCTTCCATGACAACTGAGTAATAGAGTGAGAAATTTACTTTAAACCCTCAGCTGCAATACAACATTAGAGTATAGAAGAGAATGAAATTCATGCCCATTAGGATTTTGAATGTTGGCATGAAGATGGCCATTTCTAGTATTGGTATATTTCTTCTCTCAAGCATATTCCTAAATGGATGCTTGATGGAATTAGCCAATTCACTAGTATCTTGAAACTCGGCATTGACATTATCAGTTCCTTTAATTTTGATGAGGGCTATCTCACCTTTCTCTCTTTTCTCATGCTCAATTAAGCTTTTAGATGTCTTGGGAAGAGGAATTGCTCCCATTGTTATGAAAAGTGTCAATACTGCTATAAAGTCAACCGAGATCCTCCATCTTGAATAACCCAACTTTTGTTTTCTATAATTAACTTCATAAGCTATAAAAGTGCTTAACTTAGTTGATAATTTGAATATACTGTTAATGACTCCTAGATGAGTGAGTGCCATTTCCAATAAAAATTATACTCACACAACGTCCATACTTCTTTGTTACTAGAGAAGCAACTAGGATAACAAGATACAAAGATGAGATAAT